TTGTGTTAAGAATGGCACAAAGCCTATTTTATTGGTTAGCATACAAAATCTTCAAAATATTGATAACTTTGTTGCCATAGATACATATTTTAAATAACTTCTCCAGTTATTAGTTTGTTATCGTACTAGTTAACCAGTTTTTATTTTCCCAAATATATTTTTTTCGATTAAAAACTGAAGCACAGAAATTATAAATGTAACGTTATGAGCAGCTTCCGCAACTTAAAATTTGGTCTCTTCTGAGTCGCCGATGTTTCCCTTTTAGCTACATTGTTATCTGGAATATGTATTATTTTTATAAAAATATGTATTTAAATCAATTCCTTTTGAAATATTTTTTTGCTTAAGTGCATTCTATTTACGAATTGTCGTGTGTTGTGTAGTTTTTTTAAAATATTTAGCCTATAGTATTAAGTAGCGCTAACAGGATAAATAAAGGCCTAAATGGCTTTACATCCTGGCGTGGCAGCCAGACCAAATACGACACCTTCTGTAAAGATAGGCTTAACGAGGATATTATGGGGGGGGGGAAGCCTGGATAATTTGGCAGCGGTCAGCCATGAACTGACCAGGTGAAGCCTATTAGCCAATCAAATTAAGCTGACCCCTGTCCGAGCTAGTAGTCTGGCCCTGACAAGTTCTAGACTTCCTGCAGGCTCCTGCTGCCTCTCCGTGTCTAACGGGACCAGACGGGGCGATCTGATTACTTCATTGATGGGAGAGTGATTTGACGAGGGGCGGTCACGGTCGGGCGAATGGGGGGGGGGGGGGAGGGAGTCAGTCGGTGAGGAGTCATGATTGTTCGCATTCATGGTTGTTTAGCATGGTGGTTGTTGTGCGACATGGTCGGGGAGGCGTCGTAGTGGAGGCATCATGATTGTGGTGCGTCTTTGTCGAGTGTTGGTCATAAGTAAGATAAAAACGTTACGATTATACGGCATCATGTGCGGTTTTGTGTAAGTAAGGCTGCTGCCTCAATTATGTTTTGTTTTAAGGTACCTGCTTGAAAAAAAGTACGTTTATTGAATAACTAATTTTGTTCAACACAAGGACTCGCTTCTGGATATTTGTGTCACTCCTGAATGGACCACAACACGACCCGCTTCTGAATGGACCACAAATAGACCGCGTCATAAAGGGGCCCCAACAAGACCCGCTCCTAAAGGGACCCCAACAAGATCCGCTCGTAAAGTGACCCCAACAAGACCCGCTCCTAAAGGAACCCAAACAAGACCCGCTACTGAAGGGACCCCAACAAGGCCCGCTCCTAAAGGAACCACAACAAGACCCGCTTTTAAAGAGACCACAACAAGACCCGCTCGTAAATGAACCCAAAAAGAGCTGCTCCTAATGGAACCCCAACAAGGCCCGCTCCTAAATGGACCCCAACAAGGCCTGCTCCTAAAGGGACCCCAACACGGCCCGCTCCTGAAGCCGTCTACCAGCAGACGACCCTAGAATCCGCCCCAGCCAACCCAACCCCATCAGACGACCCTAGAATCCGCCCCAGCCAACCCAACCCCATCAGACGACCCTAGAATCCGCCCCTGCCAACCCAACCCCATCAGACGACCCTAGAATCCGCCCCTGCCAACCCAACCCCAGCAGACGACCCTAGAATCCGCCCCTGCCAACCCAACACCAGCAAACGACCCTAGAATCCGCCCCTGCCAGCCCCAGCAGACGACCCTAGTATCCGCCCCCGCCATCCCAACCCTAGCAGACGATCCTAGAATCCGCCCCCGCCATCCCAACCCTAGCAGACGATCCTAGAATCCGCCCCTGCCATCCCAACCCCAGCAGGCAATCCTAGAATCCGCCCCTGCCGGCCCAACCTCAGAAGACAACCCTAGAATCCGCCCCTGCCATCCCAACCCCAGCAGGCAATCCTAGAATCCGCCCCTGCCATCCCAACCCCAGCAGGCAATCCTAGAATCCGCCCCTGCCATCCCAACCCCAGCAGGCAATCCTAGAATCCGCCCCTGCCGGCCCAACCTCAGCAGACAATCCTAGAATCCGCCCCTGCCGGACCAACCTCAGCAGACGACCCTAGAATCCGCCCCTGCCAGCCCCAGCAGACCACACTTCGGGAATGCCACTCACAACCAGGCAGCGTGTCAGGTTACCGTGGAAACCATATCGGCGCGCGGTGAAGCGGCAGTAACTTTCTGTAAATCTGGCACTAATGCCACGATGGAGCAGACGATAAGCCCTATCGAGCAGGGGGTGAGGCGGGCGACAAGACTCCCTGCGGCTTCTTTGTTTGTTTTCGCTCCTGCAATGTTTACAGCCTGGGACAATTGGCCGAAAACATGTATATTTTTCAGCCGGCCGAGATTCTATCCGAGCTCGTCTCTTCACGCGGGATGAGGTGATGTGTGACGTATTGACATTATTTAACGAACTATCAATTTTTATATGAAGTAAAATTAAATTTGAGTTAAAAATGTTTTTTCCTGTTAATAATAAATTATGCAAATTGTGCTATACCAAATTTGATTTTAACTGTAGACCTAGAACTTTATCTGCCCCATGTTACCGAAAGAGAAATGATGATGATGACTTGATACAATGTATTTTGTAAAAATCATCGTGTTTTCATGTGTGTTTCCAAATCCTACCCGAACTCGAATATACTATGCTATTGAACAAATAAGGAATGCATGCTTTGTTTTTTGTATTTCAAGATTTTTTTTTAAATATGTTATGTTATAACTCTGTTATTTGAAATATCCCATTAATTATATTAATTATAATAATAATAATAATTATTATTATTATTATTATTATTATTATTATTATTATTATTATTATTATTATTATTATTATTATTATTATTATTTTAGATAAATTATAGTCTTTTAACCTAAGTTTTTTTATTCCTCATATTAATGTATTATATTCACTAGAACATTCACATAAAACATATTATAAGTAAAGGCTTACTTTTAACAAGAAGACAATATAGTTAAAAATTACAAAGACGTATTTAATTAGTTTTTCTCTTTCTTTTAATATGTAGTTAAAACCAACTTGATCAAATGTTTCATCTTCCGCTCGAGGGCGCTTTACAATGAAAACTTTATACAGCCATAGAGTGCCTATACAAGAAGAGTACTGAGCTATTCATTTACAGGATTATGAGTTTTGTTTTGTATTATGTATGGTATTTAAAAAATGCATTAAAAATATAAATAACTATTACATAAATATAATATAAATCACTTTTATTAAACAGACGACAGTTATGACTTTGAATCATTCTTTACAATAATATAAAATAATTTTTTAAGCTATTTATTTTAATCCCAATATTTATTACTTTTTAAGGTATAGCCTTATAGAAAAAAAATATTGCTCTTAAAAACGTATTAGCAATTAAATACTTATTGCAAGCGACCTTTCCATAAATGATTTTTAAAAAAGCAAAATGAATGAATATTTAATCTTGCACCAATAAAAAAAAATCTTAGGCACTTCTCAACAGTACCCGAACACAGGACCTAGATATGAGAGACAAGTGGTGCTCAACGCTAGACGTACTACCATTCACGTGTAATAAAGTAAGAGGGATATTGGTATACAGGTATTGCTAATTGTAAAGTACAAATATATTACACAGATGGTGTATATGTATATATATATATATATATATATATATATATATATATATATATATATATATATATATATATATATATATATATATATATATATATATATATATATATATATATACTAAAACAATATAATACGAAAAAAATCGATAAACAAAAATGTTTCTACAGTCTCTTAACATCAGGAAACAGCAATAATCCCGGTAAAACGTTCATCAAGGTTATTTTATAATATAAATTAAGTACATTTAACTGTGAGTCAGCTGTTCTATAATATAAGTATTTGGTTTATCATTGGAGTATTTGATTTATCAACAAACAGGTGTCTTAAAACGATGCTAATGAACTAAAGTTAAATAAATTTTAAAGTAAAGATTTTTTTAAATAAACTTTTTCACCCAGGCAGGATTGCTAAAATAGTATTTTATTAAGTCAAAAACAGAATAATGCCGTTTTACTAATTTGCCATAAAGTAATACACTTTCGATAGAAAAGAAGCGAAAGCATATTTAAGGCAAAAGCAATTCATATTTAAAAATCATAACGTTTATTATCACAGTTTTTGTGTTGCTACTTTTCACATGAAATGTATACCCCACAATTTCTCGTTAGTTTTTAACATTTAAAAATGTATTTCTATTATTAGAGCTTTAAGATTATATTTATCAGCAAAATATAATAAGCATATAACTTATTCCATAAATATAATTACAAAAAAATAGTGAATTAGATTGCCTCACAATTTTCTCACTTGAACAAGTTACCTAATTTTATGAAATAATCCGTCCATATCAACAATTCTTCGACGATTTCAAGTTCTGTTGCGATCTTTCGAGCGCCGCTTTTATCATTTGTAGCCTTCATAACATAAAATATAGCCTATGTAACCTCAATAGCTAATGTAGTCTTTATGTGTAGCCTCTATAACATATGCAGCCACTATAGCCTATGTAGCCTACATAGTCTATGTAGCCGCAATAGCTAATGTAGTCTTTATGTGTAGCCTTTATAGCATATGTAGCCACTATAGCCTATTTAGCCTTTGTAGCCTAAATAGCTAATGCCTTGTACGTTGCCTATATAGCATATATAGCTTTTTGTAGCATTTGCAACTTCTATAACATATGTAGCCACTATAGTCAATGTAGCTTTAATAGCTACTGTAGCCTTTATATGTAGCATTAATTAGCCTCTAAAGCCTATGTAGTCTTTTAGCCAAAGTAGCTATAGGTGAGACTCGTACGGGCTGATCTAGATATAGCAACAAACATATAGAATCTTCTCGTATGTTTGCTGCCATGATCAGGTATTATTAACTTTTCTTCTTCCCATGTCACTGCTAGTGTGGACCATAATCTGAACTTTTCACATGCTTGTGTCAGTACTATGATGAACAAGTATTATGAACGTTTGACCTGTTCGTGTCAGTACTATGAACGTTCGACTTTGCCCTCACCTGTCGGCCCAATAGGTGTTATAATGGGATGAGTTAAAGGCGTCTCCCTGTTGACGGCACTGGAAGCCAAACGACGACCCGCCCCCCACGGTGCTGTACTCGGGGAACTGGGGGTAAGGCGAGGGGTAGTTCGACGGTGAGGGCATGCTCGGGGGTACTTGGGCGCCGGGGGCTCCTAGCCCCACGCTCATACCCATGCCGACGCCCATGCTGGAGTACTGAAACCCGTTGAGGGCTGAATGGGCGGAGACACGTTGGCAGGACCGGTAGCTGGGGAGCTGGGACACGCCCATGTTGCTGGGGGCGGAGTTGTGGGCCAGGGACCACGGGGAATACCCGGAGTACTGCGTGTAGGACGGGGCGTTGAAGTAGTTGTTGAAGGCGAACTGGTTGAGGGCGTGCGTGTGGTCAGCGAACAGCGGTTTGTGTAGGGACAACGTCGGACGGTAAGGCCGCTTCATCCGTCGCCGACGTCGGTAATTCCCCTTCTCGAACATATCCTCAAAAGCTGGGTCAAGGGTCCAAAAATTGCCCTTCCTCTCCCCTCCTCCCTCGCGTGCCACTTTGACGAAGCACTCGTTTAAGCTCAGGTTATGCCGGATAGAGTTTTGCCATCCTTTCTTGTTTTTCTCGTAGTACGGAAATCTTCCGATAATAAATTGGTAAATCCCGCTGAGCGTTAGACGCTTTTCCGTAGACTCTTTGATTGCCATGGCGATGAGAGCAACGTAAGAATACGGTGGCTTGACGTTGGGGTCTTTAAAAGACTCGGGGTTGTCTTTATTGTTAGGGGTCGTTGACTTGTTACCCTGCGGCGAGCTGGGGGATTTTGAAGACGAGTCACTGTTGTTTTTTCCGAAGGAGTCGGATTCGGATTTGACGGGTTTTGATGTTTTCGAAGAGATATCCGAGTGTGGCTCTTGTTTGGGTACTAGTACGCTGCCGCTAGCTTGGGATTTGACTTGCTTTGTTTGGCGATCTTCGTTGCTGTCGATTTTATTCTTGTTTTTATTATTATTATTCTCGTGACTGTTGTGAGTGTTATTGTTATTGATTGATTTTATACTGTCGATGTTTTTCTGCGACGGTTCACATCGGTCGTAGGTTTGATAAAGTTTAGAGTTTTGTATGGAGGATTCGTTGTTGGGGGTCATGTCGTTGTAGCGGGCTTGGCTCTTGTAATGAGAGGCGTGGTCTTGGTGAGGTTGAGAGAGTTTTTCGTAGTCTTTCTCGCTGGGCGTGGGGGTGCTGGAGTAAGGGGGGTAAAATTTAAAGGGCGAAAAGTAAGTCGCGTCCGGCTCGGTGTTGTAGAGTCGGGAGTAGAGAGAGGACGGCATGGACGTCGTGAGCGGTGGCGTGTTGGTGGCGTCGTGGGGCGGGCAGCTGTAGTCCTTGGCAAGGTCAAGGCCATGGTGCCCGCGCTGGGAGGGTTCGTTGTTGTTGTCGCCGGAAATGACGCCGTTGAGGCCGAGCCCGTACTTGCTGAAGTCGGCCGCCGGCTCGGGAAAAGATTTCGTCACGTGATCGTGGAGGTTGGCGAGTGGTCGGAGTGACGTCATTTCCTCCCCGTGATCGTCGTGAGGTGCCGTCATGCGTTTCATCAGGGAATCGTCGTTGGGAAACGATCTGAAAATGTAACACGAATTACAATATAAACAATATAAATTTCTTTTTGTATGAAACAAATACACTTGGAGTTACATTTTTAACTATTTGAAAGGAATACAACAGTAAGAGTTTAATTACTTTCTGTATGTAAGGATCATTTTCACATAACTTGGTAACTCTCTTTCCAGTTCAACGGAGTCCAAGTTACTCTTTCGTAATAAAATATCAAGTGGAAAGAGCAAAAGGTCTCACTAAAAGTCCACTTACATTTAGTTATTTTAGTTTATTTTAGTTATAGTTTAGTTATTTTTTATGATTTCAGATTTTTTTTTTTTTTTTTTTGAATTGTATATAATTACGGTAAACCTCAGAAAAAAAATTTGCAATTTTTTAACTAGTCATATTGATGGTTTAAAAAAAAAACCCCGCAGCCGTGGCTTTTGAGTCCCAAATTATCTGCAATCGATCTAACACCAGTTTAAAATAAAGCGGGAGTGAGCTCCCCTAAACTTTCTCGTATGCTCTTATACAGAGGAAACATATTGAGGAGAAAAGTTCTTAGAAAATACCGCTGCATGAACATGATATAAAATTATCAAAATCTGAAGATTTTTGAGAGACAGGAAATATAGTAAAATATCACTTCAGATTTCTGGAAATCACTAGAAAAGTTGATAGAAACCTTCAAATAGGTTCTAATACTTATAAATATGAAACTTCGTCGACCTAACTAAAACGGTATGCCAATGATCGTTTTTACAGAAATACAGATATACATACAGACAAGATTTTTAAAAAACACAAGAAAATATAAACACTTTTATATTTTTCAATATTAATTTCGATTTTTCACACTATTATAATACTTTTCTCTATACAACCTTATACGGGAAAATAAAAACAACTTTGAAGAAGAATGGAAATAAGATACTGAATTCTGTTTCATAGAATAGAATCAAGAATTAGTGATTAGCTAATTTTACTCTAATGGCTATACATGGAGCGAAACTGTTGCCAACGGCTATAAATAAAACAAACAGCTTAGCTCACCTGTCTTTGATACCAAACAGGTGGTGCTGGGTGTGGCCGGAATTCCCGGTGAGATGGTAGTGGCCGTGCAAGTTTTGGAGGTGTGGGTGCTTCGGCGATGACGTCATATCGTCGTCTTTATCTGAAGGGATCAAAGAAATTAAAATTAAAAATTCCTCATAATTTTTAAGCGGGGAGATAAGAGGAGTTTCCTCGTACCTCCGCGCATTATTTTCAAAATTAAAAACCAGTCGTCTTTGCCATATAGTTGTTTATGTTTTTAATTTGCTTCTTAAAAGTTAGCATCAACAAAACGATATCTTAGTTATTTGTTTGGTCGGGTCTATGAGGACAGTGTGTGACCAGTGGAGTATTTTGTTGTCTGGTTTATAGTTTGGGACACGATATAATTTAACACAGTCGCATGCTGTTTTAAGGGTCCTTTATCTAGCCTGATGTTAAGGACACGGTAAACTTGACTGACTTAATGGTGAGGACTGAGGACAGGACCTTTGACTGCACTAAAGATAGGGACGTAGGGGTATGACTTACTTAATAACGTGGACATAACTTTCGACTATCAATGTCCTTTGACTGACATGTTATTGTGACACCGTGGACATTACCTTTGATTGAGCTAATGATGGTGAAACTGTGGATATGACGTACCTAATAATGGAGACATGACTTTTGACTTACAATGCCCTTTGACTGACTATTAATGGGACACAGGGGATATGCGTTTTGACTGACTTAATACATTTGGGCAAAGAGAACACAAACTTTGGCTGACCTAACGATGAGGAAATGACCTATGACTGACCTAATGATGAGAAAATGACCTATGACTGACCTAATGATTAGGAAATGACTTATGACTGACCTAATGATGAGGAAATAATCTATGACTGACCTAATGATGAGGAAATAATCTATGACTGACCTAATGATGAGGAAATGGACTGACCTAATGATGGCGAAACATCATGACTGGACATGATGTGATGCTGGTGCGCCCTGAGCGAATTGAGGTCGTGCGTAGCGAAGGGCTTGATGTGTGAGTAGTCCATGGAGGTCAAGGACTTCACGGGGTCCTCCAGCTTCATCCCCCCGCTGTGGAAGTACTCCGGCATCATGGACATTTTGAACTCCATCATGTCTTCGGTCTGTGAGAGAAACGAGAGAGCTAAAGTTATCTTGGAGCTGCAGTCAGATCAACAAAACACAATCAGGTGGCAACTAAAATGTGTCTCGTCGCCTTCAGTAGCAGAAACTACAGCACAGTTTCCAAGTAAATAAAGGCATTGTTAATAGAGTTTCCAAGTAAATGGACGCATTCGCAAAACAGTTTCTGATAAATTTTACAATAAATAGAGGCAGATTTCACAACAGTCTGCAAGTAAATTGAGGCAGATTTCACACCATCCCACGCCAAATAAATAACAATATTTATTATTATATTTTTAAACCTAAAATGCTATTGGGGGTCGGCGTGGTCGAGTTGATAAAGCAGATGAGGCTTGTTAGCTGGGGACAGCCGCTCTTCTAGGAGAGACAACTCCAAAATTAAACAACTGCTGCCTTGTAGTTTGTTCTTGGTTGGACAAAGGCTATGGAAGCAAATCCAAAAAGAAAAGCAGGCTGAAATCGGAGTCAATGGCCTCAATGGCGCATAACCAGTTGACACGTAACGCTTAATTGTGTTGGAGGCGTGGTCGAGTCGGTAAAAAGCTCATGGTTGATAAATTCGAAAAAAGTCTCGAGTTCAAACCCACTGACAGATAAATCTCTATCCCCTTCAACACTAATAATTAAGAACGAAGAAAAAGAAAGAAAGAAAGCTATTGGGTAAGTTGGTTGGTAAATAAATGTGACCCAGAAGCTTCTAGAATTAAAAAAAAATGTGATGTAAGACTTCAAGATGTAGTTATTTATAAGCCTAATTGAAGACACCAACATTTAGACAGTTATAAGCCTACTGTAAGACTCCAATATTTAAACAATTAGAAGCCTTCTTTAAGACGCCAATATTTAAATAATTAGAAGCCTACTGTAAGACTTCAATATTTGGACACTCACAAGCCTACTGTAAAAAATTAAAGTGAGACACATATTAACAATTCGATAGCTGTAGATCCCGTTAACTGTCTATGGGTGCAACACAGCGGTGTCGCGTATTATTGTAGGTTCGTATCCAGACCACACATAATTTTAAACCGTTGAAACAAAATTACCTGAGTTGTTTTATTGCTACTTGGTTATATCTCATGGACAATATTAACACATACATGAAAACAATGTATCATTTTGTATTATAAGGTCTAAACCGTCAATTAAAAAGTAAATTAAAAACCTCAAACTGCATACACCCGAATCTCAAAAGGATTCTTTTCACAACTGTTGATAACTCTTTTTAAAACACAATCGATGAATTGAACTACTTTAAATAGATCTCATTGTTTCGTTTTTCCACTTTTTAAAATTTTTAAAATTTTTCTTGTATGTTGTTCTTGCTTTTATAGTATTTTTGCGCTTTATCATAATTCGATATTCTTCTTATCGGGTTTGCTGTTAAACGCACCTCTACTTTTTCTGACGAAGACAACCCTATGCAGCTGATAGTTGTTAGACGTACAATACACCCGTTGACCCCGCGATGCACTTGTTGTCTCCCCCTCCCCCCCCCCCCCCCCCCCCCCGGGCATGTTCGAGGTAAAAAAAAAAATTCTTCACTGAGAGATGACTCCTGCTAGAGCCTCGTTTCAATCAACGCTGGACCTGGGATCTCCCGCTCCCTCGCTCCTGGGACGTGCCTGTCGTTGACCATGCGCAGCGTCGTGCGCAGAGAGCGACTTCCGGGAACACCGGGCGCCTGGTGTTCGCGTAAACACAATGCCCGCCTGTGTTTATGCTTTGTATCAGCATGACCCTCGCTTAACCCTCGGTGCATGATGTTAAAAACATTGTGTTTGATAAACTGTGTGCAGTTGTCTTTTTACATCGTGTCGCGGATAAGGTTATAATTTGTAGGTTTTTTAGAATTGTTTTATTACATTTTTGCGTGCTTAAGTTAAGGTAAAAAAATGAACTAAACAATAAGCTTCTGCATAAATCTAGTCATATAATAAAAAAATTTAAAAAACAACTTTTTTTTATTGTTAATTCAAGATTAGCTGAGAATGAGAAATAGAAGTTGTTAAA